GCCTTTTTACTTGTCAACCTTGGGGCTTCTCAGCCTCAGCAGCCAGCAGCTGTCTGAGTGAAGAAATGCCTCTAACTCCAGTGGGCTGGGAGCAGGAGGCAGAGCTGAAGCCTAAGGCTGAGGGGCTTTCCCTCAGCCCCCAGAGCCTGGCACTTTGAACTCAGACTTCAAGCCTCCAAACTGTAAGAGAATAAACTCCAGTTTATTAAAGCCATCCCATTTGTGGTATTTTTCTGTCAGGGCAGCACTAGGGAACTGAAACAAAAAGCAAAGAAATCCCTTTGAGGGCTAAGGTGCCTGTGACCATGGTATTTTCAATCGTCTCATATGCATATGAAAGCTGTACAACGAATCAAGAAGACCAAAGAAGAACTGCCACCTTTAAATTATGATGTTGACGAAGAATATTGAATGTACCATGGACTGCCAGAAGAGTGATCAAATATGTCTCGGAAGAAGTATAGCCAGTGAAGACGGCCAGATTTCATCTCTCGTACTTTGGCCATGTTGTCAGGAGTAACCAGGCCCTGGAGAAGGACATCATTCTTGGTAAAGTAGAGGGTCAGCAAAAAAGGGGAAGACCTTTAATGAGATGGACTGACAATGACTGCAACAACTGAGCTCAAACAAGGCCACGAATGTGAGGATGACGCAGGACTGGGCATTGTTTCATTGTGTTGTACACGGGGTCGCTATGAGTCGGAATTGACTCAACCACACCTAACAACAACATGACTGTTTACCAGACACTGACCTGAGTACTTTATTTACATAATCTCACTTATTTCCTACGTCCACCTTAACAGGTAAGTATCATCAAGTCCCATTTTTATAGATTAAACAAACTCAGAGAAGTTAGGGGACTTCTATTAAAGGGGCAGAGGCAGGATTCAAACCCACGTCTTGCCTTCTCACTATTCCTTTGTGCTGCATTTTTATCCATGAGAGTCCTAGTTAGTCTTTCAGCAGGAATTTTAACCAGCAGACAATCACAGGTTCATGGCAGATTTCTTTCTTCAAAATGCAATGGTATGGAGTAACCACAAAACACTTCTTAATCTGAACTGAAGTCTAATTTATTTATTTAAAAAATGATTTTTTTTTTTTTGTAATTCTCTAGGTCTTTTTAAGAGCTACTGTGAGGAAAGATAAGACTTCAATTTCTGTAGGTGATAAGTACTATCTTTTTGTTATTATTATTCGGCTTGGTCAATTGTGCCTATTTCTGAGATCTATGAGAAAATAGAAAAGCTATGAACTTGGAACAAGACTTCTCTCCTGATTCAACAAGACTCCTGATGCAATCTGTAGAAAGAAGCCACTTCATATTGAGCTCAGAAAGAAAAAAAATTAAATCTTGTATTTTAAGAAAAAATAAAGGCTTTAAGAGCCTTGTGACACTAATTGTGTATTTTGAACAGTGGGCATGTCTCTACTCTACAGGATATTTTATGTTACCTCAGAATTAAACACAAGAGGCCCCTCTGTGCCAGATCAAAACTCTCATCATCTCAGTGAGTGCCCTCCAGAGACCCTCAAAAGAAACCATCTCAAACAACTGGGCCTGACGTGGAGAGTGTGATGCACAACTGGAACCATGGGCTGATTTGATTTGTTCTTTCATTCAAAAGGACTGTGATCCATTCCACAAACATCTGTACACAGCCCTGTGATGCGTAAGGAGGGTGAGACACGGTCTCCTCTCCCCCACACTAGAGGGATTTTCAGTCATGTCAGGTGAAAAATAAGACAACTCTTACGTTCGGCTGGCTCTGTGCTAGCAGATGCCAGGTACGTTTAACTGCACAACTTCATTTAATCCCCTCTCTAACCACTCCTCAGAAGGAAATCAGCTATGGCAATTCTGTCCTCTTTGGTCAAAGTTTGGTAACTTATTCTGACACCAATTTGAGCAAAACAGCAAAGACGTTAATGCTCAAAAGCATTATTCACTCAATAATGCTCCAAACCATTGATATTTACTCAACAGCAAAAAGATGGTAAAACCAAACCAAACCAAACTCACCACCATCGAGTCGGGTCTGACTCAGAATGAACCCTCCTTGGGTTTCCCAGGCGGTACCACTACGGAAGTAGATTGCCCAACCTTCCTTCCGAGGAGTGGCTGGTGGGTTTGAACTGCTAGCCTTCTGGTTAACAGTCAAATGCCTTAGGCACTATGCCACCAGAGCTCCTAAAAAGATCGTAGGAAGTCATTAAATGGAAGCTTCTTTAAACAGCAATGTGTGCTGCCAGCAGGAATGGAGGGAGCATCTTGGTAGCAATTTTGGGTTGTTCTTTAGAAATACTTCGAAAAAGCCATTCCAGTGGCTCTACTGTCCATTCCTTCTAAGTTTCCAGGTTATCTCTAATTTGTTTCAAGTATAAAGGCAATGACATTCCTCAGGGACAAGCCCATGGTGGCTGTGTTATTTAAATGATTTTATGGTTATTAAAACATTTATTTGTAGTGAATAAGCCAACTATTTTTAATTATATGAAATAATTTGCTGTGTAAACTTTCACCTCAAACATGATAAAACATTATTTAACAATTGTATTTTTAAAAAAAAACAAAAACTAAGTTCCTCTATTAGCTCTGGTGGTATATTGCCTAAGGCATTTGACTGCTGACTAGAAGGTTGGTGGTTCAAACCCACCAGTCACTCCGTGGAAGGAAGACTAGGCAATCTACTTCCATAAACATTTACTGCCTCAGAAACCCAAAGGCGGTTGCTATGAGTCCGGTTTTTTTTGTTTGTTTGTTGTTGTTGTTAGTTTGTTTAAACACTAAAGTCACAGACCAACCCTATCGGATTGTGCATTAGTTCTTCAAGGACGCTACATGATGATTCGTAAAGATCAGCAAGATAAATCAGTAATCGACTTTCAAAGGCAGCAAAGCCTTTCCAGCCTATAACTCTATTTTGATGTTTCTAAAGCATCAATGTAAGGACTTAAAATTCACTGGTCCTATTACTGAATATTTTTCTCCTATTATTTATTTATATATGTTGAAGGTTTTATTTTGTAGCATACCATACAAATGGTTTTTTTTTTCCACTTGCAGAGTACATAATTTCACCAAAATGGATAAGACAATGTTTTTCTGATGAAGTTATTGCTAATGACACCAAACCAATGGGGTAAGCGAATTTCAAAATCCATATTTTTAAAACATGAAGATATGGAAACTGAACTGTAGTCTAAAGGGCACAGAAAGATTATCTGGAGATGGATTTCAGCTCTGCGAACAATCGGAAACAACACTGAAAGCTGCTCATTTTGGTCCTTCCCTTGTCACCACCTCATCTGGCTCCTTCAGTGACAGACTAAGAAATATGGGGGGGGGGAAGCAGGGTTTTCAATATGGTTTTTCTTTGGGGAACAATAAAAACATTAAACTTTATACATTTAAGTGTCTGTGCACCGAATGGCAGCCCTTTCATGGGCGTCCAGCTTGGGTTTTGTCTGGGAGGGGAAAAAGGGAGGGGGAGTCTGTGAATACCCCAGAGTCATTTAAAATATATAGTATTAGCTAATTGATGAGAGGACTAAAAACAATAGTAAGTAGGCAGTCTGGCTGCGCGCCAGAAGCAGGGCTTTCTGGTGAAACCGAGTTTACATTAGAGGCCTGTTTTTCCCTTTTCCTTATATGAAATGAACAGCTGTAATTGAAAAGCAAGGAGCTCTATGGTTTATAGAAATAGGTGTTGTGAAGAGCCTTGGTCGTCTAATTTTCTTCCTATTGCAGGGCAGGCTTCCATTGTCTGTTTTTTAGAGCTAATTTCTTTTCTGCTCGAAAGGCCCACGTCGTTGAAAAGGTAGTAATGACTATTCATTTGGCTGGAGTCTCCATTCTCCAGACTGCAAGCTTTATTTAGAAATGGCGATTTCTTTCTCAAAGGAAAAGCTCATTTATGTCCTCTATAATGTCAATTAAAGTGGAATATATTTTAATTATTTATCCTGAGGAGAAACCTTTTAGGAACTTAATTTAGTATGCCTATGCTATGCAGACACTACAATATGTGAATGTGGAATGATATCTAGGCGCATGGGTTTTATTTTATTTTTACCACTAATGAATAGTTTATTTGCAACTAATTAACAAGTTAAATCTGCACAATTAGTGTCGGATTTCTTTAATAATATAACTCATAAAGGGATAGCCATTGGAACTAGAAAATAAGGTTGGTTGTTGGCTTTGTAAAGAAACCATTCCACAAGAGGGGTAGTTTTTCCCCCATTAGAAAGGGTTATTGGGACGTTCTTCCCGTTGTTTCTCCAAATGAAAGCTGGGCTGTGCTGAGGGAGGAAATATGTACAGAAATCCGGGGGAGGTGGTGTTAATTACACAAACAGCACATTAGCAAAGCCTCAGGGTCCCAAGCCCGCGACACTTCGCAGAGTAATGGAACTGGGATGACGGTGGCCTAGATGCCCAAACGCTCGCGCGGCCGGGCCGCTGCGCAGAGCAGGCTGCGTCGCGCCGTCTGGCCGCCGGCCCGCGCCGGGATTGGGTCGTCCGAGGCTCGGCAGCCTTCATACATGCCTGGCAAGCAGGGCGCCCTGGGGGCTGCATCCTCCGCCAGTTCCCATCGTGCGCAGTGGCCGGGGCGCTCAGACCGCGGCGCCGGGCGCACAGCCGCGGGGCTCTGGGGTCGCGGGGAGCGCGCGAAGGGACGACGGCGGGCCCTACCTGCCGGGCCTTCCCTGTCCGCGCCTGGCCCCTGCGCCGCTCCGACTGCTCGGGGAACGGCTCCAGGGGCGCTGGGAGCCCTGGGGGAAGGTTTCCTCGTCCTCAACCCCAGCCCTCTGGATGCCTCCGCTTTGTGCTGGGCGCCCAGAGCAGTACACGGTGGGTGGACGACAAGGCGTCAGTTACATGGAAAGAACGGCCACAAAGAGAGTTAGGAGGACAGAGAAATTCCGTGAATCGAATACCACGGCTCTTCTCTCTTTTAAAAGGGAAAACATCAGTAGAAAGAACATGTAAAAACAGAGGAAAAACGAATAGCTCTATGCCGCCTTGAAATGGCAACTGTTCTCCACTCCCAAGATGCTCTCCGTATCCCCACTCTGCCCTCCTGCGCCCCCTGCCGTCGGGGCCCTTGGGCTGGCCTGGCCACAGCTGAGTGCTGGAGGCCCGTGGTTTTCCAGGCATCCTTCTTGGGTGGCGCACTGCCAGGTTATATGGCCCCGCTCTCTCGACCCCACTGTCTGAATTACCTGTGGGATTAGGAGCACGTGTGCTAGCTCAAATGTGCCTATTGGTATCGACTAAGATTCTTTTCCTTGTCCTGGCTTCCGGCAGGCCTCGCCAATGCTGTGCTGTAGAAGTGAGGGCCCGGTGTCTTCGCAGCCACCAAAGGAAGTGGCCCAGACCATAGGCCCAGGGGGAGGGCAGGCCTGACCACAGGGTGCCGGCTTCTGGGAAGCTGCTCTACAGGGGTGCGGGT